CCCCCCCCCCCCCCCCCCCCCCCCCACACACACAATACAAACAAGGGAGTGAAATCGTTGTTTTTCCAACTCACAGCGTGGGCAACGTCCATTGCAATTGACAGCCTTTGTATCCATGGCAATGGAGACCTTTTACCTGTGCCAAGAGACAACAAAAACACCTTACTGACATAACTCACGAGTTCGTCTACCAGTTATGGATGTGCATGTGCACTGTTTTGATAAATGGCACCAAGAGCTCCACCCACAATGGACCCACAATGGATGAATAGTAATGCAACACATGAAAAAGGCACCCTTTCACGTTTTCAAGCAATAGAAGCTACTGTGATTGCTAGACTTTTGACCCAACTGTGCCCATTGGAAATTCTGTGACCCCGAACCACCCTACACCCCCAAAACAAAGGTATTGCAGGTTTAGAAACGTGCAACGGTCCATCAACCTTCCAACATGGATAGAATAGCTGTATTAATACAGAAGTGTTTCGAGCATTCCAAACCCAAAAGGTTCCCCACATAGGTTTGATATGTTCAACAATGGTCGCATCATCCACAGCACATCAAGAGCTTCAGAGGTACCTAAAACTACCTGCACACAGGTTGTGATTGCTCTTACAAAGATACACGGCTCATAGATAATCAAACACAATGGTGATATGTCAACCCAACATCATGTGCTCAACCATCTGCTCAGTACCGTAGACTTTGCAGATAGACGGCCAAAACTACCATCCTCCCCCGAAGAGAACATACGGTCATTATTGATGTATCTAGACCAAAATGCACCCCAAATACAGGCATAATGATCGTATGTTCTATTCAGGGAATGCAGCGGGCCTTCATCTGCCCTGGCCTACAGCCAGGGCCTATTTGGCTATTTGCCAGTTCGGCCTGTGGGACCAGGCCGTGGCCTGACCCCACAGGCCGTATATTGTTTCAGTCCAGTCCAGTCCCGCCCGGTACCACGGTCGGTACCAGGCCAGTCCAGTCCAGTCCAGTCAGTCCGCTGGGGGTATACCCCAGCTGCAGTCTGTTTTTTGGTCATTCTTCACTTTCGCAGATCTTGGAGTACTTGCGTGTGGAGTCTGCGTCGGAGCTGCGCTGTCCCCTCCAGCTCCATCTCTACCTCCTTCTTCGTCTCCATCCTAACGGACCGCCATCCCGGCGGGTCCGGCACAGGGAAGAAGGTAGGACAGCGGTGTCGGTGCGAATACCCTTACAAGGGTATCCGCCCTGGTTTTTGCAAGCGACCGAAAATAGGTTTGGTTTTCACGCTACGTTGGCTGGGCAGTGGACTAGAGCAGAGAGTGTGTGGGCGCGCAAGCTTAAGGCGCGCGTGATCCTTTTATTTGTTGATGATTGAAGAGCCGACGCGGACGTCGGCCAGACTTTTTCGTTTGTTTGTTTTAAGACTAGGATTAAAAGATACCTTAATTTAGATTGATATATTTGACCGTGACAAGTGCGTACGTGCGGAGGACGACGTCGACAAAGGCACGGTTCTGTGTAGCAGCGCGGTGGAAGCGGAAGGTTCAGTGGGCGTGGGATTAGCTGGTAGATCGAGACGCGGCTCTGGGACGTTTTAGTAGATTGGTGCGCCTCGTGGTATACGCTTATATAGGTTCCCGCCTGTGCTAGGATCAGCCTTGCGCCTAGCGCCATTGGTTACGGTATCGGACTTTCACCCGAAAGATTCAGGGATCGAGGCCAGTGAGCGACGGCGCGAGGGTATCAGAGCGATGCGGAGGGACCACAGGATTGAGGGCCCGGCGAGACTATCCCCTATGGTTTTGTCGCCACGGGCCGACGCTCGTTTTCTATCTTGCGATTTTTTTATTTTTTTTTTGGCAATATTATTTCATCTTACTGCTTTTATTGTTATTTATACTGAGCTGTTTGGGTCCCTGTGTGTCCCGAGGGTCGGAGAAAACTTTTTGACTACGGGTGCGCCGTTTGTTGTTCATGACCTGCTGCCATAAGGCGTGAGTGTCGGCCTGCCCACGAAGGCCAAAAAGGGGGCTAGGAGCCATGCCAAAGCACAGTAGGCTCGGGGGACAATGGTAGGAGGCCCGCAAGGGGGGTGTCAATATTCATACCGAGTGGTTAAAGCTTAGTTGGCACAACCGTGGACTGTGGGGTGTGAATCTGAGCCTAGGGACGGGGACCGCCTAAGCCCCGGTAGTGTTACGGGCTTTGACCCTGTCAGTGTCCATCGGGACATCCGTATATAGAGGAGATTAGCTGGGCGCCTGCCCAGGAACAGCAGGCACAAATTGGAGAAGGACTCCTTCGTCGTTTGTCCCAGTGTCAGAAATCAAACGTGCTGTGGGATCGGCATGACCGTGCACTGCGCTGGATTATGAAGGGGGAAGACGAATGGTGAGACCGTGCGCTACAGCTGGCCAATGCGGACGAGTTAGTAGGAGACGATGTCACAAAAAGAGGTAGACGACTGAATGGACTGGGACGGCATGCTGCGCAGGGTACATGCAGAGGGAGGAAGCAGGCAGCAGAGCGACAGGCGCTAAGGAAGTAAGGCGGGGCAAGGTGAAGTAGCGGAGCGACGGGCGCAAGGTGCACACAGTGAGAGCGGGTCGAGCTATGGTAGGAGGTGAGATTTTGATATCTCACCCAATTTTCTATAGAATCGTGCGAAATGAGATGTTACTCCGGGGTTTCTCGGGTCTGCGAATCCAAAAACGGTGTTAATAATGGTGGTAGATTAGTAGATAGTGAGTTTATAGGAAAGAGACTTGCATGGGAGTGCAGCGATGGTGGAACTAGGCAGGGATGTGAGAGTGATTCGCTGCTCACCTATCGATGAGATTGGGGGAAAAGAAGTATAGGTGAGAGGTTTAGGAGGCAGGCGAATCCGATGGTGAGGACGGATTGAAAGGTTGACGGGTAGATCTGATGGTGTGGGGAGTATAGGCTGCGCCCGGTGAGGAGTTATTGCTACATAAAAGTAGAGTGAACCTACTCGAGTTTAGGGACGGATTCATCCGATTCTACTCAGCCTGCCGAAAGAAGTATCGTGGGGCCAGCCGTGGGGTTGGCGACTTACCTGTTGGCCTGTGCGTCGCTCATCCTATGAAAGGCACTTGGCATCTCGACTTCGTTTATCCTATCATACACAGAGGGCGAAGGAGAGGGAAAAAAAAAGAGCAAGAGCAAGAGGAAGATAGGTACTCACCACTGAGCAGCTACGGGGCGTGCGGAGCTGAGGAGCTAGGTGGCGACACAGAACTGCATGGCCAGCTCGATGCAAGAATTGGGAATGGATTGGGCCGGTTTCTTGTAGAAGATTCATTCCGGTTTTGCTCAATCTCATTGATCGAAGTGCGAAGAGGCTACAAGAGTGAAGGGTTACGTAAGGAGTTGTTGAAGGGAAGCCGCAGGTGTTGGAGATCCGTTTGTTGTCCAGGTCGGTACCGGTCCTACCAGGCGGAGTGGCACGGGTCGGGGGAGGGAGCGTGAAGCCAAAGCTCAGGGGTGAGAGGCTTGTCGCCAAGGTCACGCCTGCCGACCGCTGAAGTCTGCATAAGCCAGTCTCACTGACATGGCAGTTTGATGCCTATGGCATTTCGGTTCGAAAGGATGCCAGAAAGAGAAGGAGAGAGTGCGTACCTAGTTTAGTGGTAATCCACGAAGTCGTCATCTTTAGGCACCACGGTGGTTGCTACTGATGTCAATAGGGTGCATCGCTTGTATGCAGACTGCTCCAGGCTATATAGTGGAAGTCTGAGCACCGAGAGCCGAGCAGGGGGAAGGGCTTTGGGCGCATGTGTTGGTGATGGTGAAATCAATCAGGATGTGGTTGGTGCAGGGGAGGCTGTAGTTAGGTAGGTTGTTGTTGCTTCAGTCCGTGAGCTTGTCATTTCGGCATGTGTGAGGGGTGTTGCGGTAGGTACGATTGGGATTGTTGGCGAGGAATGCAGTGATCACTGTGCGCAACTACTACAAACGTGTTTACTACCCGCGGTCGCTATGTTTGCGGTTGTTTCTATATAGTTGGCCTGCAGCTGCTAGCGTTGTGCTTTGCGGTGTGCACCGTGATCGCTGAGGTCGTTGCTACGATCAGGGGAGTCATCAGAAGGTCAACGGTCAACGGTTTGACTTCGACTAAATAAGTTGTTGTATACTTGGCCATCATTGCGGAGCCCTCAAGCGCATCAAGGATTCAAGGCCCTCGCGTGAGTCTGAGAGCACCCCTCTTGTAACTGAGAGACTCAATGACCTCTACTTTTGCCTTTCTTACTCTTAAGTCTAGTCATGTTCTAAGAGGAAGGCGACAGGCGGGATTGCAACCCGTAGGACCCCATCAAGGCTCTGTGGGGAGTCTGCCCACCGATTGCGGGAGCTCTGCTGGAACCTAGGCGAGGTTCTAGAGGCAGGGAATCGTAAAGTATACTTCCTTCTGTCTGTATGAACCCACTATGCCCCTGTTTGACTACCTCCCTCTAGTTCGATTGATATATGCATGTGTTCCCCTATGACTTTTGCTTTCTTTTCAAGATTTAATCAGACTGAATGGAAGGAATGTGTGTGAAAAGCTTAAGTTTATTCTGTATTTTGACTGAAAGCAGACTAAGGGATGAACTGGGGGAAGGATGGGAGGAAGGCAGTTTTGCATATGTTTGACTGGGCCAACCAAAGACTGGGCATTGTATCTAAGCAAAATGGCCCAAAGCTATGTTTATTTGACTGTTTTCAGAAGGGTCAGACATTGTTTCTAAGCAGAATGGCCTGGTTGCTATGTTTATTTATGAGGGTTTGCCTTATTGAATGGCTTTACGTTTTGTTTCATTCTGAGGGAGGATTTTTTGTCTAAGGCTAAGCATTGTTTCTAAGCAGAATGGTTTGGCCTGAAACCACTCACAATAAGTATAAACGGTGTATAAACAGGAAGTATTTTATTTATACTTGCATGTGAACTGACAGTTGGACATTGTTTCTAAGCTGAATGGTCCAGCGCTAAGCCATATCAGTAGAAAAAAAAGGAAAATTACAAAGTATAATTGGAAGTAGTTAGGACAAGCTGAGCATTGTTTCTAAGCTGAATGGCTCAATCCGCTGCCAATATTTTCATTTCTTTTTAAAAACAAAGTCAAAAAATATTAAAATTTAGATATTAAA